GCCCGCTACACTCGCTTTTTAGAAACACCGTGGAGGACGTCCACACCTGTGAAAACACAGCGCTGCGCTTGAGTGGCTTTCTATATGCAGAAAAGCAGAAGTGAAAGGGGAGTTCTGAGGCTGAAAGATGGACTGGAGTCTGCAGTGCAGTTTGCTGTGCTGCCACAAGGTGGCACTATAGTCACATTAGGACCTGAGCATCGAAACCAGTCTTTTTGTGTCTCCGTTCTAGTCTGAGGAAAAAAAATATCAGAGTGGAAAAAAAGTAACAGCTGGGCTGTTAAAAAGAGCTGCAGAATGTATCTTGAAAAGTCTTAACTGGTCAAAACCCTGTGTGTTAATTAACTGCAGCCTGAGATACCTGCAGTGCTATGAAGACTTCCAGGAGGGAGTCACTGCAAATGCTGGAGCTCTAGGGGGGAGGGGGCAGTTAGACAGTGGTGGAGATGGATCCTGGAACAGCTGGGGGGCCTGTTCTCTGGGGGGGAGGTTCCGGTATCTTGGTTGCAAAATTGGTGTGCCGGCGAAAGTAGAGGGAAAAGGTTCTGAAACACACACAGCCACCAGCAGGCAGTCAGCTGGAAGGGTCCCCGAGAAGGGGGGGGTGGAGGGGCAGAGGTGGTGAGGGTTGTGGGTGCAGGGGTGCCCAGCGCGACAAGGGTTTTGAAACACAACACCGCAAGACTAACAGGACAGAGAAGAGCAGGCAGTACATTACCTCGCAGGAGGACGACTGCGTGCGGCAGCTTGGCACGATCTTGAAGGTAATGCTGCCCCTCATCTCCCTCTGTGGACACACACACACACACACACACACACACACACACACACGCACGCACGCGGTGGGTTTCCGCCTTCAGTCGGCATGGCAACCAGGTCTGCTTATGTGTTGACGTGGAGTGAGGCTACCAGCTCTTACCAGCATCTTCTGCAGCTGCTCTACGGTCTGGTTCGCCACGCTGATGCCATTGATTTCCCGGATCTCGTCGCCAACGTGAAGCGTTCCTGGTGAGGAGAGGGGGCCGGGCGGGTTAGAGTTAGGGTTAGGGTTAGGTTTAGGGGGAAGGTATCAGCCCATGGAAGAGTGTCTGGCCTGTGACCTAAAGAGCCAGTCAGGTGAGAGTCTGACCACATGCAGCTGAATCAAATGGGAAAACGGGGAGGTCAGGGGTTGGGGGTCAAACCCCAGGCACCTATAGGAAGCCCTTCATGGATCTCTGATCTCTCCACTCCACTTGCTTTATGTTCTAGTCTCAGGCAGTTTTTCTCTTTCTTGTGACCCAATATAGGCAAAGGGAGACTGTCGCCAGCGTCGTGGCGGGGGCTGTAAGCCCCCCCAGACCTGGGTAGTGTTATTATGATGTCCTTGACATTCCACATATAAACAAAGTGACAGTGGGCAGTAGAGCATTCTGCTACAGGGCCCCTATATTGTGGAATAGTTCCCAGTCTATGTCTGGGATGCCGATTCAGTCTCGGTCTTTAAATCTGGAATGAAGACCTGTTACTTCAGTTTAGCTTATTACCCACAACCTAACACACCGTAACTATGGCTGCTGGTGCTGCTGTACTTGCCATTTTAATCTACTGTGCTTGTCCATTAATGTGTCAGTGCATGTTCTGACCACCATGCTCTCTGCCTTCCTACATGTCTGGGGTTGGCACCATCTGAGCTGGAGTCCTGGTTCAGTCCCATGGAGGGGTGACACTGTGTGACACTGTGTGACACTGTGTCAATGCCTTCAATGCCACCCTACACAGGCCTCACTGGTGGACTCTGGCTTGACTAAAGCACAGTCTACACCTAGCTTTTAGCAGGCAGACCCACTCTTTCCTTTTTCTATACTGTTATCATGCCCGGGGGGGTCGGGAGGCCAGTTGACCTTTGACCCCCCCAGAGGTTTTTTTCCCTCCCTACTTGAGAAGATTTCGGTTCCTCTCTGGTGTCATCTGTCTCTGTCTCTCATTTCTCTGTCTTTCCGTTTCCCTATTTTTGTATTTTCTCTCCAAGATTTTGTAATGAAATCACGACATGCCCATGTAAAGTGCCTGTGAAAGGCGCTATATACAAATAAATTCAATTGAATTATAGGTTTGATTTTTTTCATTAGTTTTTACTTTGAAGATATATTTATATGTAGTTTTTATATATTTTAGTTTCAGTTCTAGTTTTAGTGACTTTATTTCTTTTCTCTAGACTGAAAGTTATTTTACGTGTCTGATCTTCAGAGAATCTTGCATGAATACACATTGCATGTGAGGTGCTGATGTCCTCAAAATGCGCAAACATGTTCCAGGCATTATTCGTGGAAAAGTAAGATCAAAACAAATCATTACTTTAGCTAAATAGTGTAAAAACGGTAACAGAAAGTTTCTGACATTTGTTTTTATTTTATTTCAGTTAGTTTCAGAAGCAATATTAATCATTTTTGTTCAGTTGTTTTTTTATTTTATTTTTGTATCACAATCTATTTGACTAAATGTTTCATATAGTGTTATTTTTTTGAGGATGATAGCCCTGGTCCTGGGGTGGGGGGACCACCATCGCGCGGGACGGGGACAGCGGCCACCCACCTTGCCTGTGGATCATGCCCCCATGCATGATTCGGGCCACGATGCAGTGGTTTAGGTCGTTCATCTTCAGAGTGATGCCCTGGTGAAGAGAAGATTGAGGGAGTCGGCAGTGAACACGAGAGCACGCTGCCGGCAATCGCACGGCCAAGATCAGACCCCACGGCGCCCTGACACGCACCATGGGCTCGTCCGTGTTCTTCTGGAACTGCACCAGCCGCACCCGCGTCACGTTCTCCAGGTCCATGTCCCCGTTGGCGCTCTCTGGCGAGTCGCCGTTCAGGTAGGGCGAGGTGGGGGGGGGTGTGACCCTCAGGGCCTCGTCGCTGTACACCTCATGGGCCACCACGTCATGGGTCTGCAGTAAGGCCTGGGGGGGCGGAGGACAGTTCAGACACACACACGCTAACTGTTTTCATGTGAATTCCCTTTGACTGATTGACCCCAAACTGATGATAATTCAAAACTATGTTCCTGCAGATACGTAGGTGTGTTGCAATGTCCCCCATTTGTCTTTGGGCGGGTGGGGGAAGGAATGGATATTTCTACACATCAGCAAAATGTGTCTCTGTGAGCTAAAAATATCTGACATGGACACACTCACATTTACACACTCCCATACAGACATACACACACAGACACAGACACGTGTGGCTCAGTGGGCTAAGCTGTGTGCCTGTAATCACAAGGTCGCCGGTTCAAGCCCAGCCTCAGCACGTCTGCAGGTCCTTGAGCAAGACCCTCAACCCCCAGCTCTACAAAGAGCAAGTTGAGGGAGGCGTAAAAAGAATTTCCCCACGGGGATTGAAGATGTACACTTACACACTCTCTCTCACACACACGCACGTGCATGTTGGTGTACCTATCTAAATGGGGACTGTCCATTAATTTCTATGGGAGAATCCCTAATCCCAATCACGACACCCTTAACCCCTACCCAGCCCTAATCATATAACCATAAGTAACCAATCAAAATACGAGACTTTTGGCATTTTTACTTTTTTGATCGTAGTCACAGATTTTTATAAAATTGGGTTTATCCAAATGGGGACTTGAAAAATGTTCTCGAAAGTAAGGAAGTTTCAGGTTTTATTGCACTTTGGGGACATTTTAGTCCCCAAATGTGATTTATGCAACCCCCCCCAAACACCCAAACACACACAAACAGATGCGCCAGACTTCCCCTCTAGCGTCCCCCCCCCCACCCCCCGTAAGGGCTGTGTCAGCATGTTTGGCTGCACAGCTGAGAGCTGGGGAAGCTACTGGGCCGGCAGTGATGAGTCCAGCACAAGGCGGCATCCAAGCAGCTGGAAGAGGCTCCAGACCAGGCAGTGAATGTCCAGCTGACATCACGCTGCACTCCCCACCCCTCCCAAAAATGTGAAGCCCTTTTTAACGGGGGGGCAGAGCCCCCACTGAGGGACATGGAACACGGGGCGTAGCGAAGGATGATGGCCCCCCTGCGTACACGGTCTCACACTCACTGGGACAGTCGAGCACAATTACGGCCGGAAGCGAGGTCCCTCCAAAAGGGGAAGAGCAAAAAAGTGGCATTCCCACCCGAACGCTGGGGCTGGATTCGGGGGCCACTCTCCTCTGACATCGTCAGCATTAATCCCTTTCCCTGTTCTGTTTCAGATCAGTGCATTTAACATAATTGCATTTTTAATCTTTAAGAGAGATTTCCATTAGAACAGAGCTCTGTGAAAAATAACCAGCCCCTGTTTTCAGGGCAAATATAAGGGGGATTGTTCCCAAAATGTGGGTTGCAGACTGCAGAAAAAGGTTATTGATTAAGTCTCACTTGATTAGTGATTAACCGAAAGATAAAGCAGCACTGGAGGACTGGATAAAGCAAGGCGCTGTTTCTCAAGCTGACACAAATGATCTTATATCGAAAAGACAACCAGCATCTTTTTTTATACAGATCCAAAAATATATATGAGTTGTTTTCATATGGCATGTATTGCTGATTGATAAATCTTTCCTTGTCCACAAACAGGGATCTGGAAAGCAATGAAGTCTGAGCTCAGAGTCCTCAGTGCGACACAGATCCAGTGTTTACACACCTGACAGAATCTGCACAAACTGTTAGACGTGTGAGGACAGAAAAGTCGGAGGCTACAGTGACCAGGCTGCCGTGTTAATCGCTTTGTCACACGGTCGTGCCCACGCGGCCTTGTCCCCGATCCGGAACGGGACCGCGAGCAGGCGGAACGGTGCCGTCTCCGTACTCACCATAAAATGTGGCTGAGTGAGAATCCGCCTTAGCTCTTTAGCGTCGCTGTTCTCGGGGTAGCAGGAAATCTCTTCCAGTACCTGGGGAGTGGCGGGGGGAGGGGGGGTGAGAGAGGGCCGTCAGCTGGGCTGCTTGCAGGGTCTTCCTGGTGCCTTCCCCTGGGAAACCCTCTCACGGCCACTGAACAGATGGGTCACCCAAACCACAGCACGGTGCTAATGACTCAGAATGGCCACTCGTATGCCCCGCCCACTCAATTCTTCCCACCCATGACCACGACCCCCAGAAAGCCCCAGCCCAACCCCCAGGGGCTGATTGAGCACAGTGATCAGAGCTTAATCAAAGAATGTCACAGTCTGGGTGACCCCAGTGCTATGTAAAGATAAGTATGCTTTAGTAATTGCAGTTTAAACACTGCTCTCAGCGCATTCTGGGAATTTGCCATAAAGTCCCGTGCAGAAGATTAATGGCTAAGAGTAGGAATGAGGCAAAACGCTTGGCTTACATACTCCGGGCGTTTTAAAGCTGCGCTCGCCTCATCTCTGCCGGGATTCTTCGTCACACAGGCCTCCCTAATGCCTGGACGGGGGCGGGGGGGGGGGTATGAGGACGCACAACTGCGTGCATGTTCCTGCACAGAAGCTACCAGTGGGACTTCCAGCCTGGGGCCAGCCAGCCAGAGGGGACTGGTGTAAGGGGTTTAAACCAATCAGACCTCCCCCTTGGCTGCAAACACCCCCCTCCCATCCCCAAGAAAGGGATGTTTTAAAGTGTTTTAGTAGGAGGGTATCAGGCAACAGCGGAGCGAGCAGTGAGGGTTATTGCAGAGGACCTGTCCACCCTCAGCCACCTAAAACTCAGATGAAAGGAGTCATGAAGTTTCGCAGAACCAAAGCGACAGACCGCGCTGCTCCAGGAATGAGTCAGAGCTGAGACTGAGGTGATAGGAAGCACCGGTTACCGTGACTAGAGGCACAGAATAACAAGGGGCGAGGCGTCCCTGCGGTGTCTCGCAGATGCACATCTCCCACCAGGCCGCTGTGGTTGCTAACCTGCTTTCGAAAGCACAGGCGGCATATTCTCTAACCCACATGACACATGATACACCCCCACCCCACCCCACCCCACCCCACACCCCTGCCAAATGGGCCGTGACCCTGCGGGGGCTCCGCACCGGTCCCAGGTCCTGCTGATGTGCGGAGACCCAGGCCAAGGCTGGCGAGACACTTGAGCCTTTGGGGGGGGGGGGGGGGTCGCTGATATGGGACCTCACCATCACAAAGTTTATATAAGGGGAGCGATGTGAACGGCAGCTCCGTTCCCTGTGATAGGTGGCCAGTGAATGGGGGAGTGGGCTTAGTCGCCATGGATACCATTAGCAGAGAACTTAGTCATACAGTTAGTAGCGTGTGTCAGACGGGCAGAATGAGGCATGTCATTCAGCAAGGAAATGTTAGCGAGACGACAGGCGTGAAGGTTTTATGGCACACAGCCCCAACAATGGCCTGTGTTCAAAAAGAGGGTGACAGGCAAAACCCTAACTTAGCAAAAGCAAAGCATGAGCAGGCCCGCAGTATTACAGCAATATCGAGTAATACTACAGAGTATTACAGCAATATCGAGTAATACTACAGAGTATTACAGCAATATC